TAATATTAATTTAATTTATATATTTATTATATTATATAAATTTAATATATATATACATATATATTATATATAAATTAAAAATATATATATTTTAATTTAATATATATAATTATTATATATAAACTTAATATATATATATATATATATATAGTAAATAATTATTTTATAACTCGCGAATTTGATTATTTTCTTTTTCTCGTAATTTCTTTTATCATTACTATTATTATTATTATTATTATTATAATTATTATTATTATTATTATTTCGCAAAATTAGTTTTGCGAAAGTGCGTTAGCATTGTATTATTAGTTAGTGTTAGATCGGACGGTTGGGGGTAAAATACTATGCGCAGGTAGTGTGAAAACGAGAAATATTGCTATGAATCGAAGAAACCATCTAATCCTGAACGGACATGATCGTTGATCGCGTCTAGCGACTACGTTCTCGGTATTCGTGGTGCCACGTGGGAAAACTTTGGTGGAATAAGATGGGAATTACTTGGATGTCTAACACTTGCCTGGATTATCTGCTATTTGTGTCTAATACGAGGTGTCCAATCAATTGGGAAAATCGTCTACTTCACTGCAATCTTTCCTTATGTCGTATTATTGGCATTGTTAATAAGAGGTAAGTTGACAAATGTTTGATAAAATATCCTTTTCTATAAGAAACTCCTAAAATAGGATTATTTATCGTTAGTAACTAAAAGGTTCATTCATTTTTATCAATCTTTGTTACAATTCTTATTAATTGGTATATTAGATCATTTCCCTTTACTCCCCGGAACTTTTCACAGTTCTCTATGTGTTTCTTTTTATTAAACCGAGTCATTTCTGCGCTCGGGTTTTGTGAAAACAACGATGACGATTTATCACCAGAGAATAGAAGAACTCTAGGATACGTTGGACGACGATCCTGCAATTAATTTGCGCGTCACTTGACTGTGAAATACGCTAGCACGTATTTTTGCCAACCGAGATATAAGGTGTTTGTTATTGCAGTAGTAGTAGTAGTAGTAGTAGTAATAGTAATAGTAATAGTAGGAGTAGATAGAGTAGAAGAAAATCGCTAGACGTGTTTCCGCGAGTATTTATGGTGTTACTTGATATATATACTTAGATATATATAATTATATATTTCATTAATCTTTTCAAGCATTATTTTTACATATATTATACTATATTATAATAATTAGTATAATAGTATATTATTATACTATATATATATTATTATTATTATTATTATTGTATATTATTTTATATTTATTAAATATATAATATATATAATAATTTTAATATATAATATTTATTATATATATTATAATTAAATTAATATATTATTAANAATTAAATTAATATATTATTAATATTATATATAATATTAATTAATATATATATATATTATTATTATATTAAAAAATTATAATATTATATATTATTTTTATACATGTATATATAATTATATATTTCAGTAATCTATTCAATCAATATTTTTGTTCTCTTATTCTCCATCTCAATTTTTTTTTTTTAATAACTTTCTTCTAATAATAACTTATCCCTTTCTTAAGTATTAAAATTGATCATTGTTTATTCGAATAAAATACAAAACCACAAGGATAAAAGTAAACATAGTGTATAAAGAAAAAGAAATTCAGTGTTATGAATTTTTCAAAGCTTTTCCTGGTATATTCCTTGAGAGAGATACATTTGGTGAAACACGTTTCGAAGAGACACCACACAATTCGATCCTAGGTGTTGGTAAAATATGCTGAAACGTTTCCCTATTTTGTTTCTTTTCTTTTCTAACAGAATCCGATTCGTTTCTCGTACGATGGCACGAGTCTTGAATCGGACATAAGAAACAAGGTGATTTTGTCTTTTTATAAGAATGAAACACGAAGAATAAAACTAAACGAGTGAGTGAGTGAGTGAGTGAATGAGTGAGTGAGTAAATGAATGAATGAGAGAGAGAGAGAGAGAGAGAGAGAGACATACAGAAAGAGACGATAGCGTTATCGATTCAAAGAGATACCTTCGCGCAGGTGTCACACTGGAAGGTGCTGGTGAAGGTTCTCTCTGGTACATCACGCCCACCTGGTCGACGTTGAAAGACGCCAACGTATGGGGAGATGCAGCATCGCAAATCTTCTATTCACTTGGCATCGGTTGCGGATCTTTGGTCACTCTATCCAGCTATAATTCTTTCACCAACAATTGTCACAGGTGTGCTACCAATATCACATTTTTTATTTACAGCTATTACTCTTTTTAACATTTTTTTCTTCTTCAACTCAATATGAAAAAAATAATATATTACCTGGTAGGTATTATAATAATAAAGTATAATAATAACTATATATTATATAAATTGTAATAAATAATATATAATATAATAATATAGAATATATATATATTACAATTATATATATATTATTATTATTAAAATTGTATTATATATATGTAATACAATTTGTTATTATTTTATATTATATTACATTTTATTATTATTAAAATTGAATTATTTTCAATAAGACAACGATTTCTGTTTGACGTTTTATGCAAATACGTGATAGAGTTATATTTCATTATTATTATTATTAGGATATTTATTTTGTAACAAATGTCAGTGTTTGGTAAGATGATAAGGTAATTGTGACAATTAGGGATAATTAGCAACATACCAGACACCTCTAAACACGAGTAACCAATCATAGGAAACAGTATCGTTCGCATTCCTCCAGTTCTGATTTGTACTCGAGTTACAGATTGACAGAACATTCGATAGCTCCCTATGATGCATAATCCCCAGGTGTCAGGCTTAAACGTTCGTAGGTATGGTATGGTATAATATGGTATACAGTATGGTATGGTATGGTATGGTATGGGATACGCATCGCGAACTACATGTAAGGTTTCGATTTTACTAAAAATATGTTTCAACGATCAAATGAACATTTGCGTGATGTCGGAACTCGTCTATGGCAAAAAGCGGCAGGGTAGTAATTTTGATAAAATGATGCTATATTTGTGTTAGTAAAACGATTCACTTGCCAATTTGTTTGCCCGACAGATCCTTAAGGATAATACGAACCTACCATTTCCTTCCTATACTTTTATCCCTGCATTTACGTTTTTAACGTTTTAAGTGAAATATCACGTTTTAACGTATCATTATTGGTTTTTCTTTTCTTATTTTTTTTCACTACTACAAATACACAATCTACTAATACCTAACTCATCATTTTTTTTTCTTTTTACATTAAGCATTTATCGATTAAATTTGTTTATAAAATTAATATGAGAAATTAGGTTCTATATTATTTTGACTATTATTTAAAAAAATGTTTATTATATTCCTGACAATAATTTCATTTGTTCTTTTTTTTCTGTTTTTTTTTTTTTTGATATTTCTAGAGACGCCATTTTCGTCAGTATCACGAATCTCTTCACTTCGATATTTGCTGGTTTTGTGATCTTCTCCATATTGGGATTCTTAGCAAAACAAATGCAAATGCCAATAGACGAGGTTGTCAAAAGTGGTACGGGCTTGGCTTTTATCGCTTATCCGGAAGCAGTGGTGAGAATGCCCTTACCAAATCTATGGGCATTTCTTTTCTTCTTTATGCTTTTTATCCTTGGTCTTGGTAGTCAAGTAAGTAATCATTATTTTACTTTTATTATAATAATAATAATAATAATAATTATTATTATTATTATTAATATCGAGAGTTAATTTCTTGAGATAATTACAACATTTATATTTATCTACTTTGTCTCTCCAAAATCAATTTCACTAGCAGACGCAAGTCTTTTAAAAGAGAATTTATTATAAGAATCTAAAAAGAAGCATATTACAGAAAAGATTTCTTTCTCTCTCTCTCTCTCTCTCTCTCTCTTACTCTCTTACTCTCTTTCTCTCTTTCTTTCTTTAGAAAAGTTCTCTTTTATACAAAATATTATAAAATTGTCTGTAATTAACAATTCTCTCATTTTAAAATCATCCCTCTCTCTTTCTCTCTCATTTTATCTTTTATCATCAATTTTAGAAGCTACTTTACTTTGGTAAAAGAAAAAAGTTACACTTTAAACGATTCTTCGATGTAAAACACATAAGAAAAAAAATTAATTAATAAAACATTAAAGTATTGAGATAATATAATATAAATAAATAATTCTTTTGCTGATTTTTGATTTAAAAAAGAAAAGAAAAAAATTAGAACATGTGTGTAGATCATACAATTTAGAAGTGAAATCTTTAATATAAACAAGTTTCGAGAGAATGAGACGAGTGCATAGTATCAGGAATAGAATAATTTATTATATAATATTATTCTAATATTATTCTTCCTTTTTATTGTAATTATTTATTCAACAATTATAGTAATTCGGGCCTGTATGTATGCAACCCCCCAGACATACTTTGAAAATGTTGCTTGCGAACGTCATCTGTTGGGACGGCATTTTTTTCAGCTCAAACTGTTTATACACGTTTGTATTACGAGTTGCCTATATTTCGGGCAGAAAAAAATTCCGCCCCAATAGATGGCGCTCGCAAACAGTATTTTCAAAGTGTGTCTGGAGGGTTGCATTCATACAGGCGTAATGTTTTTGTAAATAATTATAAAAATTTGACTTTAATTTTGTAATGAATACACTTCGTAGTATGTAGTCGTACATAAACATACACATATACAAAGCTTAGTAGCGTAGTGGGGACTATGAAGAATCGTACAAAGTGTGGATTCGGGCCTGTGGTCTGACGGGAATTTCCCTAAGAATTCACGTGGCATTCAACGTGTTAACAAAGATAAAGAAAACGTTTTTAAGTAACACACACACACACACACCCACACGCACACACATATTTTGATGAATGTTATAATAGTAGAGAGAAAAGATTTTGATGAGCGATTCGTAAGGGTTTGGCTAAGAAGGCACTATGCGAGGAGAAACTCTGAGAAAACGAGAGTTGTGTGTGGATGTTGCTGCTACTTCTCGTGTATTTATCAAAAGAAGCTGCAAGTGAGAATGTACTTGGATAGTGAGAGAAAAGAAAGAAAGAAAGAAAGAAAGAAAAAGAAAAAGATGGAAAGATGATAGTCGCACGAGCGCGTTACTTTTGCATCGTCTCTTAGCCCTTCTCGCTCGTATATCATGGAAAGAGTTATGGTTTGCTGTCTGAGTGAAATCCACACCTCCCTTTTTAGTCCTCCCCCAACCCTACCACCATATCCCCCTAGCCCCTTATCCTTCATTCTCTCTCTCTCTCTCTTTCTTATCTTTTTTTCTCTTTTGGAAGAATAGAAAGGGTGAAACTATGAAAGAGCGAGGAGATCGAACGGTAGAGAAAGTAAAGTCTTTGTCTTGAAACATTTTCTGTCCTCCGAGCGTTGTCTCTCGCGCCAAGAGAGAGGTAATTAAGGCAAGGAGAACAAAAACTAAAAAAAGACAAAAATTAGGGGGAGAAAAAGAAAGAGAAAATAAAGAAGAAGAAGAAGAAGAAGAAATAGAACTAGAAGTAAAAGTAACTAGAGAGAAACGAGAATAAAGATAGAGAGAGAGAGAGAGAGAGAGAGACAGAAAAAAAGATCCCCCCACACACACATACACATATACACAAAGTACACATCGAAGAAACAGGATAAACGAGTAGTCGTTACTTTTTACGATACAGTTCGCAGGGGTGCAAGCGATAAATGCGGCAATACTGGACGTACGCCCGGATTTACGAAAGTACGAAAGCTACGTCATACTGGGAATATGTATACTATGTTGGTTATTGGCAATACCAATGATTTTCGACGGTGGAATATACCTGTTCACATTGATGGATTGGAATACAGCATCTTGGGCAATACTATTGATCGGTGTCGCTGAGGTCGTACTGGCTTCTTGGTGTTATGGATGTAACAAATTTCTCTGTAACATCGGCGAGATGCAAATGAAGTTCGGTCGGTTGCTACATAGCTATTGGTGGCTCAGCTGGGTCGTGCTCGCGCCTATCACTTGCTTGGTAAGTGCATTACCTACTACACATCGTCTACATCTGTGTCCTACTCCTTCTCCTTTTCCTTTTCCTTTCCCTTCTTCTTCTTCTTCTTCTTCTTCTTCTTCTTCTTCTTCTGGGGAAGAAGTGGAAGAGGATGAGGTAGACACCATTCTCGAGCCAAGAAGAACTTGGTTAAACTCTTCGATTCTATTAACCATCTAAAGCCGAGAAAACCGAAGGAGAAGAGGAGCATCTTTCCTTCTTCACTTTCCACCCGATAACAGAGTCTCTTTGGGAAAACGATCGAGTCAGATGAAAATGATAAGAAAGTAAAAGCTTATATATATATATGTATGTACCATTCGTACCCTTTCTTGTCGTCTTGTACTTGCAATAGAATCACCCTTTTGTGATATTTTCTTTATTATCTTTTTTTTTTTCGAATATTCCTTCACTCTCTTTCACTTTCTCTCTCTTTTTTGTCGTAGTTGTTGTTGTTATCCCTTATGTCATTCACGTTAGCTTATGTTATCTGTAACTCTCGCGTACGTCATATCTATCTGTCTTTTAAGAACAAAAAGGGGGTCAAAGGTCTTTGCCAATCCACCGGGAATAAGTTAGAATTGTAAACTGTGAAAAGAAAGAAGGAAAAAAAAAACTTGAAGTATTTTCCCTTCGATTTATCGATCAGTCCAGTCACAGTGATTCTACGTTCAGGTAGGGTAAAGAAGAAGGTAGGCAGGCATTCCCCACGTTTCCCTGATGTTCCTTTGATTGAAATAGTTCGCCTGTGAAACATCAAATCAAAAGTTATTACGTCTAGTTTCGCACTCGAACGCATTCAAAATGTTCCCAATGTGTATGCGTGATTTAACTTTCATGTTTCTATCGTTCTCAGTCGACAACGATGAAGTCGCCCATTAAATAATCGTCTAAGCTTTCACCTAGGACGCGATCATTATTGAGTTTTATACAGAAGAACAGCATCGGAAGTACTTTTGTCTAATGCATTTCCCTTTCTCTTACTCCACCACCCTTTCTCTCCAGTCCCTAAACTTTCTGCTTTCTCTCAGACTTACTTTCCATTGTAGACAATCCATTCCACGGGGCACGTACTTATCTTCTTTCTATTCCTTTTATTTGGATTCTTCTTCTTCTTATTCTTATTCTACTTCTACTTCTACTTTTACTTCTTCTACCTACTGAATTATTTTCCCTTTGAGTTTCTTTTTTTTTTGAACGTGAATCGAATTAATTTCGGCAAAATGAGCATTTCCGAATCTCACGGGAAATTATTTTTCAAAACAAAATGACATCGATAATATTGTAAATGTTTTTTATTTTTTTGTTTGTAAAAAAAGCGTTTTCTCCAGGTTTATATCACACGGTCGTAGAGCACAAAATTGTGAATTTCCGTGTAAAGTAAAAAAGGAACGAAACGAAACTACTTGTCGGTTTAATTTTCTACTTGCAGTTTGCTTGCCTGCTTGTTTGTTTGTTTGCTTGCTTGCTTGCTTCCTAAACTCTCTAGACTTCTTTACCGTATCCTTTTTGTTTTGACTTTTCTTTTATTTTTGACCATTTCCTACGTAATATTCTAGATAGTTCGGAGTTTAGTCCAATCAGAACTTTTTCTTCTTATTTTACTGGCGATCAAAGGATAGGACAAAATTTACCCAAGGTGGGTGAATTAACAATTTCCATTGTAACTATCAGCGGTAGGATAGGTGAAAATTCGTAACGTGGCAAGTAATTTGTAGTAGAATTGGGTGACCAACAAAAAGTGGTAACCATCAAAAATGGGTAAACGGGCTAACCGCCTAATTGCCCGACCGCAGGAACGAACGATATGTGAACGTAGTGGAGTGTATTGGTGGTTACGAGTATCTAACCATATAGTACAAGTGAAAGAGAGAACGAGTGAGGTGATACACGTATATGAATAGACCAATACATATGCATATGCGTTTTGTTTTCGGTATAAGAGACCATTTTTCAAAGTTTCTTGTCATCCTTGGAGGGGTGGGGGTGGGACACGCCTACGTAACTAATACTACATACAATAGGTAGGTATTTTGCCAACAAGCAGGCAACGTCCAAGTGGATCTCGTTGTAGAGGGTCTTTGTCATCCCTTATTTACCAACAGTCCAGAAACAGAAGCCCGTTTGGAAACAAATGATCGCAGAGAGTAGGTTTTTCCTAGGTGCACCGAGTACCACCAACCAACCAACGAACGAACCAACCAACCAACCAACCGACGTTGGTGAACGAAGGACAGTGTCCAGTAACGTTCTCTCGGTTCACTTGGATTTAAAGCAGCCCCCGTTAGATCGATAACTCTGCTGTCACACGCACGAGTCAAATTGATTGCGGCAAGAAGGGTTCTCTGTTCGTAAAAGGGCGTATGCTACTACCTTCGAAATATCGTTTGCGATATAGAAAGGAAATGGCAGAAAACGTCACCAAGGATTTTCTTTCTTCTTCTTCTTATTCTTATTCTTCTTCTTTCATTTTTTTCTCCGTTAACTTTCTCATTCTTTCTCTTTTACTTTTCAACCCTCGAGAATCTCTCGGTTTTCTTTGTCTTCTATTTCTTTCTACCCTTTTTTTTTCTGTTGTACTTTCTCTCTCTCTCTCTCTCTCTCTTTCTCTCTCATTCTTCGAATCGTATAATCAAATAGAAAATTTGTACTTCGTTCGACTATTATTTCGCTATTCGCAAATTGTCGTTTATCCCTTTCATAATCACGGATTTCTATTGGAGGAGAAATATATATATATATATATATATATATATATATATATATACACGTAAGGTTTCTACTAGGAGATCAATGCGTATCGATTCCTCCAATCAGGCGTGAAACCTTTCCGTGCAACCGCGTACGCTTCGAAGTTGATAAGCGAATTCGAGTCCGCTTTTCTCCCTCTCTGTCTCTCTCACTCTCTCACCCCTAGCTACAACATCAGATTAAATTTGCAGAGCATAGCCACAGAAGAGCGAACAAGCGATACCGATCGTCGACTCTTCCTCCTCTTCGAAATTCACCTAACCTCGGATATAAGCTGCGTTTGATCTCCAATGTTTAAAGAGAATTTAAGATCAGAAACAAAAAAAAAAGCAAAAACAAAAAAAGAAACTTTAGTAAAATAATATTACGAATCACGATTATCAAGTGTTATATTTTTTTTGATAAGATATTTTATAATATTAAAACTAATTTTTTTTATATTATGTATGTTATATATTTATATATTATATATAATATTTATCTTATTTTTGTTGTTGTTGTATATAATATAAAAATTATATATAAATGTTATAAAATAATTGTAAATATATAATATATTTATATTATATATAAATGATAATATTTATCATATATATAATTAAAATTAATATTACAAAATTTATCATATAATAAATATAAAATATTACATTATAATAATATTATATATTTTATATTTATAATTATAAAAAAAAATATAATAATATATTAATTATTATATTTATATTGAAAATATAAATTATATTTAATATTAATTATAATTAATTAAAATTTAATATTTATATAATATATTTATATTTAAAAATATAATATAAATATAATAATAATTAATATGATTGTATTTATTTTATAATAAATAATATTTATTTTTGTTATATTTTCTATTATATATAATATTTATAGAAAATAACATACTATATTTATCTATATACATACATATATTTAACGTGTTGCTTTTTCTCTTTGTATTTTTTTTTTCTTTATTTTTCTGTTTTGTTTTGTTTAAATGTAACGTTACCTATTTAGCTTCTTTGATATTTTTTTCTTTCTATTCTTTTTCTTCTTCAGTCAACACACATACCATCCCCTTATACTACCAACGAACACATTTGTTCGTTGTTCGTTGGTTTCATCCCTCTTTTTACTTCTCTTTTATATTCCCTTATGTTACAAGCACACGCTGCACCGGTTACGAGCGTTTACGCTCTTCTGTGTCTGTCTGTCTGTCTGTCTGTCTGCCTGTCTGTCTGTCTCTCTCTCTCTCTCTGTCTGCAGGATTTTGAGTAAGAATAACACGTTTTGCTTTTCATCCATAGGGGGTCTTCGTGTATCAAATGTATACCTACGAGTCGGCAAGCTACGGTGAGTACGTCTTTCCTGGTTGGGCGAACACGATTGGAATACTAATCGGACTATCTACCCTGGCACCATTTCCGATCTTTTTTGGCATACATCTTTGGAAAATATTGGTAAGAGTTACCAACCTCCTGTTATTATATTTCAAAGAAAATCTTTTTAACCATCCATTTCATTCTTTTTTTTTCTCTCTCTCTCTCTCTCTCTCTCTCTCCTTTCAAGAATTTATTGATACATAAACACACGATATATCAATACATTATTTATCAAGATTTCTTTATACATAGTATTATAGTAGCATTCAAAAATAATCTTTATTTTTCTTATTTTAATTTAGGTTATTTATTATATGCAAACGTGTTGCTATATTATTTCTTTTATATTAACCCTTTGGTTACACGTTTATTTGTGAATTATTTTGAAATATTGTAAACAATTAATTATAATATATACAAGTTATTTTATTTAACTAGTTAAATAATATACTATTTAATTAGTTAAATAATATAAAATTTTTTGACAATAACGGTCCGGTGGCTCGGTGCAAGAGTCTCAGATTCGTATCAGCAGTACCGCGGGTTCGAATCCCGGCAATTCTAGAAAAAATAAAAAATAAAATTTTTTGACTATAATAGTATTGTTAAATAATATTAAAATTATATATTATATATATTATATTATATTATATAGTATAGTTATATTATAATATAATTATATAATATATATTACATATTATATATATTATATTATATTAATATATAGTATAGTTATATTATAATATAATTATATAATATATATTACATATTATATATATTATATTATATTAATATATTATATAGTATAGTTATATTATAATATAATTATATAATATATATTACATATTATATAATATATTATATTATATTAATATATTATATAGTATAGTTATATTATATAATATATATATTACATATTATATATATTATATTTTAAAATTATATAGTACATATAATATAGTTATATTATAATATAATATTATATTATAAAATTGTATAGTGTGTGTATATATTACACATTATAAAATATATATATTTAATTATAATTATATAGTATATAATATATAATTTTTATATATATTATTTAACTAGTTAAATCTCATGTCAGTTTCAATGACATATCAATACTTCACGTGCATCTTTATCCAAACAAATGCATGACGTACTGATACCTCAAATGTAACTAAAAAGTGAATATTTATTTCCATTACAAATGAACATTCAAATTATTTGTTATTATTCGAATACCAATTGATTGAAATCTCGTATGTAAATTAGTTCAATGAAATTGTTTGTAAGTAACGTGATTAATAGAATTATTATCATAAATTGGGTTAGAATTAAAAGGCAAGAACACTTCTCAGTATTCGTTGGAATGGGGTTAAAGTTAAGGATGGGTTGGGGGTGGTATAGTAAGCGGTTGCAGGAATGCCTTTTAAAAGTTGCCTGTCTCCTGATAGGATCTTCGGTAAAGGAGAAACGTCTTAATACAAGTTTTTCAAGGATACATTGTGATTGTAGTAGTAGTAGTAGTAATAGTAGTAGGTAATCGCACTTTGGTAAGGAAAAGTTTGGTCCGGTGCGCGTTTCATCGCACCTATTTTCTACGAAAAGTTCGAACTAACGCCTACTTACTTCTCTTTCTTTCTCTTTCTCACTCTTTCTCTTGACTACTTCCGCTTTGTGTTAACCGATAAATTTACCATTACTCTTATCTCCTTTCCTTCTGTTTCCGACTCACTCTCTTTCTTTCTCTTTCTATCCCTTCCTTCCTTCCTTCCTTCCTTCTTGAAGTAGAACTTCAAGGAAACTACTCGCGAGTCTTCACAGGGTTACAATACTAAGGAAGAAGAACAAAAGGCCCTTTAAGATTTTCTATAGTCTACCATTCAAAAGCTTTGCTTCGATCATTTTCATATATATATATATATATAATATACCTATGTAAGTTGTGTACCGTTTCTAACACTTTATGAGAAAACTTTTCTACTATACTACTATTAATAGTACTTGTCCTGGCTAGTTTAGTCCTTTACTATTAACAGTTTAACGTCATATAATTATATAATATATTATATATATTATATATATTAAATATAAATTATATATAATAATATAATAATATAATAATATTAAATAATATAAAAATAATATAATATAAAATATAAAAATAATACAAATATAAAATATATATTATATTATATTAATATATTAAATATAAATTATAAAAATATAAAATATAAAAATAATATAATATAAAATATATAAAAATAATACAAATATAAAATATATAATATTATATTAATATATACATTAAATATAAATTATAAAAATATAAAATATAAAAATAATATAATATAAAATATAAAAATAATATGAATATAATATAATAATATAAATATAAAAAAATATATAATAATATATTGATATAATTAATATATAATAATATATAATAAATTTTAAATGAATCTAAAAAAGATTATAATAAATTGTCGTATTATATCAACTATAATCAATTAATCGAAAATAAATGTTCTGAAAATTTCATTTGAAGGATTGAAAAAAAAGGTTTATTTGTTCCTCGTTTGCATTTATTACTACTGGCCCTTTATACTACTTGATCGGTCGATAAGTTATGCTTTCAGTGTCCGATTCGTGATTGTATAATAATTATAATAATAAACGAATGTAAATCCGGTGCTCAAATTCTGTTGTAAATTAACATTGTAAATTAACATTGATTTGTATTTCGATTAGCTGTTTATACGTCGAAATCTAATTGTTGTTTAAATTTGAACCTAATCGAAAATGACCCTTTTTCTCATTTCTGTTTCTCTCTGTCGTTGCATTGACGTCATTTGCATTTGATTCGTAATTTTATACGTCGTTTACTTTTTATTTTTTTTTATTTTTTTATTTCTGTTTCGCAATCCAAGAACCAACCTGCAAAAGTTTCTTGTCGTACGAATATTAAAACTAACACTCAAACTTATTTTAAAATACATTTGAACGTTTGAATATTTTTACCAATTTTCCACATACCCCCCATCCATTTGCCCTACTCTCTAGCATCCTTCAAAAGAAAGAAAAGAAAAAATAAACATAACAAAAAAATAACAAAAAGAGAAGTAAAAACTTTAAATTAGATCGTTAATTAGTGTCATCCAAACAAACTACGAGGCAAATTAATTCTCTCTTCTCTTATCATCGATCGTGTTCTAACATTTGTTTAAAGTACTCGAGAGAGATAGAGAGAGAGAGAGAGAGAAAGAGAGAAAAAAAAGGAAAATACTTGGAAAAAAAAGAGAGGATAGATAGAGTGAGTGAGTGAGAGAGAGAGAGAGAGAGAGAGAGAGAGAGAGAGAGAGAGAGAGAGAAATGAAGAAGAACAGGTTAGATAGGAAGGTAGGATATATAATTACGAGTTTTTCTCCCCCTATCAAACATTTACCCTTTTATCATAGAAATAGTTATGCAAAGAATGAATATAAGAAAAGTAGTAATAGTAGTAGTAGTATCTTTTAACGAGTTATCTCTTAACCCTTTTAAATTCTACACAGAGGAAGAGTGATTTATTCCGGCCGACTAATTTGTGGGGACCAGCCATCAAAAAGGACAATTTGGATTCCGACAGCGTCGAGACAGTCATCGTCAAATCTGAACAAATTCGTAACGATCATTGAATATGAGATAAGGAAAATAAAAATAAAAAAAAAATAAAAAAAAAATCAAATTACTCAACGACATAATTTCTATTACGGGTTATTCCATTTGATGATCTTTTCATTTTCGTATATTAGATTAGTTAATAAGAGAGGGTGTAACGTAACAACTTTAGAGTACGTTCGTTTTATTAAGATGAAGAAAATCTGCCTAACTGAGCTATATACTACCACCACTCTAGTAAATCTTATTTCATTACTTCGTTCTACGTTATATTCCACCATTGGGGTAAGGGAACGTTCCCGGTGGTGTAATTAGCCTTACTAAAATAAGCCGTTATATTATATTACATATGCGATGATATATATAGATATATATATATATATATATATATATATATATATATATATATAGATATGTGTATGTATAATATTGTGTATATATATATATATTCGTATACGAAGGATATCTCGTAGGAATAGATATTACGCTAACTATACTTAATTATACTGTTTCGTACGTTACGTCTTGTCAAGTTGGTATGTGTGTCTCAGAGACCGGAGGGAGGATGACGACGACTACAACAACGATGAGAATCCACATAACTTTAACTGTAATTTCTTGATCTGCCGAAAACGTAAATTATGATTTTGGCAAACGAAAACAAGACTATCATAATACTATTTTGTCTTATATTATAGGTATATTTAATATAATATTAAATTTCTAACGCGATTAATTTAATTTATATAATTAGATCGTTCTGACAAATTTTAGTCCCCTTTTTGTTTCGATGATAAGTTAAACAATGTTGAAAACGTAATATAGTTGTTTTTTTTTTTGTATTTTACGTTATTTTACTAAATAATATCGATTTTACGGTATTTATCTTTTTCAATATTTTAAATTATTTAACCTGAAAAATATTGTGTTTGTAGAATTACTAAAAAAAAAGAAAAATCTTCTGGGACGATCTAATATATATAAAAAGAAGAAAAATAAAAGCGCTCGACGATTTCTTAACTGCAATAACACAATTATTATAGACAGTTACGATTACGTTGTAAATAATTATATTTTATGTAATATAACAAAAGTTATATATACATATATATATATATATATATATATACACTTTGTGTCGTGTATTTAATTATTTATAATTGTTTTTGTCTACTACGCTTGTGTTCGATAATAAATTCGATCGAAATAATAATAATAATAATAATAATAATAATAATAATAATAATAAAAAAATACAGACAGTTGAAATAAAAAAATATATAAAATCGTTTCTCCAACGTTTCTCTATTTTCCCTCTTTCCTCCTCATTTAAAAATTAGTTTTAAAAGCATAAACATTAACGTCAACGAATAATCAGGTTTAAAACGGTCCTATGTGAATAGAAATGTATGGTAAAATATGAATACAAATTATATAGTTGAGTGTTGACAACGAGAGAAACTCTGTCTATATTCGCAAATGTTGCATCGACCGTTTTAACGAGATGCAAAGGGTCGCGTGGTACTTTTATTGCATTATATACTCGATCAATTCACTATACACAATTCCCTTGTGACGTTCTTGTTATTGTTACTATTGCAACAGCATACTACTCGTGTTATAATAAACTTGTTATATCGGATTGGTCGATTTTCGATTTAGTTTCCAAATGCAATAACATCTAACAGTCATTGATGAATTTGTATATCTATATATATATATAAATTTTGTATCTTTACAAATGAATTGAACCTATGTGCAATGTAACGTTGAACTTTTGTTTTATCTCTATGCTGTGTTATTTGGATAGGTACACACGTGTAAATATATATATATATATATATATATATATAAATCTATCAAGATTATTCTATCTCACTTCCATGCACTTTGTTATCGATCATAGAAGAATTAATATTGAGGTGAATCGAAATGGCAAGACATTATGATAACCATTGCAGCATAATCATTGCAATAAACTTGTTATATCGAATTAGACGAGTTTTCATTTAATTAGAATTATAATTGTGTAGAATTGTAGTGTAAATATATATATATATATTATATCTATCATGATCATTCTATCTCACTTCCATGCACCTCGTTATCGATCATAGAAGATTTAAAATTGAAATGAATCGAAGTGGCAAGATATTATTATTACTATATTGCAGCATAATCATTGCAATAAACTTGTTATATCAAATTAGACGAGTTTTCATTTAATTACAATTCTAATAAAGATAATAATATTAGAAATAAATAATAGAATTTAAACAAAATGATAAATAAATTCAATAAGTAATATTTAACAGTCAACAATGACAATTTGTATATTTTATGTTTTCAAATGTACAAAATATATAAAATGAAATATTGAGAACGTTTCATCTTTCTGCTGTTGTATAAAATACGTACACGTGTAAATATATATATATATATATCTTCATTTCTATCTTCTATCGTGATTCCTATCTCTCTCTATCTCTCTTTGTATTTCTATCTCGCTTGTGTGTCAGGTCTCTCTCTTAGCTGTCGGTCACAGAAGAAGGAAAACTGAGGTGAAGCGAAGTGGCAAGACGTTTCTTGCGGTTGACGCCTCAGGGCCGCGTGAGGATGTTCGCCGTGATCATCGCTCAACAAAGCCGGAAAAGCCGTGAATGTCGCGCGGTTTGGTCTCGTGTTTTCCCCTAATTAATGTGGGGGGCAGGAGGGAATACGCCCTTTAGTTCCAACAGAACTCTCGTTCTGTTCTAATACATAGGTTCGTACCTTGTACCGTTGTAATATCGCACAAGTAAGGGAAAGAACAGAGAACTGAGAAAAGGGAGATGGATAGATATGGAAGGAAAGAGAATGAATATTAAGAGAGGGTTAAAACTGAGTGTGTATGAGAGAGAAAGAGAAAGAGAGAGAGAGGGAGAGAGAAAAGGGTAGGAAAAAGGGAAAGACGATGATCAGTAAAGGAGGAGTTTTAGCTTGACGGTAATGAGAATCGTAGAAGCGAGTACGTAACGCGGGGTAGGTTGGTCTCACGATCGATAAAAAAGATTCTGCGAAATGGTTCGCCACACAAAATTGCCTCTCAACTTTGAATTATCTGCTACATGCATTTTTATAAGTTTCCTCTAACCCGCATACGAGTGGGAATGAGTAGGAATAAGGGAAGATGGAAAAAGAAAGAGAGGGAGAGAGAGAGACGAAGAATTACATCGTGTTTTAAACGTGGTGGGTGTGTTAACAAGAGGTGTATTATAAAACGACCTTTGCAACGGAGGATAATAAAATAGAAAGCGAAGAAACGGAAAAGATCAAAAGCAAACATTATAAAAGAGAAGGAAGGATAGAAGACGAGAGATGCGATGATGATGGGTGGAAAAAAAAAAGGAAGTATAACAATGAGCAAAAAAAAGAAATAAAACATTAAAAAAAGGGATAAAGAATGGGTAAAAGATAGGGGGATGAAAAGGAGGAAAAAAGAAAAGAATAAAAAGAAAACAAAGGAAAAAGGTGCAGCGTGTTAGGGGTGGGGGTGGTGCAATCTTGGGGCGTGATAACGAAGTAACCACGCAGTCTACTTTATAACGTTCTCTAAAGCGAAATTTATATCCCAACACTCCATGGGATCTCTTCGCGAGCTATGTTCGTCTAGGTGGAGGTATTCTAGCTATAGTTAGCTCGTTTTAACTTATAGGTAGAAAAGGCCGTTGCTGGTAACTGATCCGACACAGCTGTTTACGCAAGCTCCAGAGTCTGCCTGAAATTAGGTAACAACTTCGATAACTCGAGCCGCTTATATTACGCGCTTAAAGAAGAAGTAGGGTGGCTTCGCGTATTGCGAACTATGTCGGTATATTTACAAATACATATATATATATATATATATATATATATATATATATATATATATACATTCACACTGTCTCTCTCTCTCTCTTCATATTTCTATCTCTTTTTCTCAAAGTATGCAGCACACAGTTATATCAAGAAGTTTTGGAATATCATGGGCGTTGTACGAATAGTTGAGTTACGCGTTTATATGCTTGAAAGCCGTTAATTAATACTTGCTCGGTGTGTTACCTGTTAAATCCGACCCTTTTCTTTTTATTCTATAATCTCGAAAACTGATGGTTCTTCTTCTTCTTCTTCTTCTTCTTCTTCTTCTTTTACTTTAGATAAACTTTGAGGTAAATGTGGTAAAGGTTAAAAACTATCCTTCCCCACATTCCATTACTAAAGTGTATGTGTTGTATAGTATTTATATATTGTACTTTAAATTAAAACTATAATTTTGGAATTAGAATTTCCTAATGATTTCTTCTGTTTAAATCGTCTTGCGAGTACTATAATTGCAACTATTATTATTGTAACTTACTCTCTAATACTACTTCTACCAGTACTACTACTACTACTACTACTACTACTAGTAAGGATTTACCTTAGATTAATTTTCCTATCGTAAGATGGAAATTTACGTCAATCTATCTTTTAGATCGCTTGCATAAAAGCGGATTAAGTAGGTATAAGTGTCGATTAATTGCTTGATCCTGCCGAGGTTTACGTTGGTATCGATTGCTCGTGTCATTGGATTACACACAAACACTTTCTCTATCTCTCTCTCTCTCTCTCTCTCTCTCTCTCTCTTGCTATATAGATATAATTAATTGTAAGTGTATATACGAGTTTTGCATTTGTTCAAATGAATACATTAATTTATAGTTTTAGTTAAATATTTTGTGTGTTTATTTTTTCTTGTTTTTTTTTTTTTTTTAATTTGATAAGATATAAACTGTTATTGAAAGAAACGTGAAAGAATAATAGAAGTTAGGTGCTTTTCTGCTCAACGAATAGCAAATAAAAATCATTAGTAAAGGGGGATGAGGGATGGAAGTCATTTAACTGGGATAGTCAGCTACCAGGTCAGCTCTAGCAATTAGTCTTTAATTCTCATTACTTTTCTCGAAATGCTCGAGGCCATTCTTCGTACTCTTGGCACTGTCCGTGAGGCTCATGGCTG